TCGGGCCGGCGCTCCGTAGCTGCGCGTTCCGGGGTGCGCGCGGGGGAGGAGCGGGAAGGGCGCAGGGAAGGGGCCCGGCCTGGAGGGTCTGCAGCTTCTTTCGGTTGTCCCTGGCAGAATGAAGACCATTCTCAGCAACCAGACCGTTGACATCCCCGAGCAAGGTACGTCTGCCCGCGCCTTTGAAAGGCCTTTTGGGGTGCTGACGCCGCAGCCGGCTAACCTGCGTCCGCCTTTGCTTCCCAGTCAGTGTTTCGCTGAAGGGCCGGACGGTCATTGTAAAGGGCCCCAGAGGAACCCTGCGAAGGGATTTTAACCACATCAACGTGGAGCTGTCTCTCCTGGGAAAGAAGCACAAGAAGGTGAGTGCTGCAGAGGTCGTGTCTCTGCCCAGAGAGGGAGGGTGGCTTTACGGTTAGCTTTAAAACTTCTCGATAGTGCAGGAGACTGAACCAAAACTTTAAGCCGCAGGTGAGTTACTTAATTCTTGGCGTGTTGCTGTGTGTCCTGCAAGAGGCTGGTCTCGTGGAACCTTGGCACCGACTCGGGAACTGTGGCATTCTTGAAGTTCTGCGATGTGCTGCAGTGAATTTGTTGGTTGATTTTCTTTTGTAGTTACGGTCAGACGGCTACTGGGAAGGGGGTTGATCGTTACGTGCTGTGTTTTATAAACTGGTTAGTCTTAACTAGATAAAACTAAATCTCTACGTTTAATTTTCAGAATTGGCAAGTTACGTCACGAGAGCAGATGTTTTCTAAATAAATGCGTGGTGTTTTTGTACTGTCTTAAAACCTACAAAAAAAGGGGAAGAGTGGCTCATTTCAGCTACTTTTTCACAAGCATCTGGTGTCCCATTAAAACGCTGGACCCCCACAACAGCATTTCATTAAACAGTTGATAGCTAACCCCTAGGAGAGTGACTTTGGAACAACCCGTTCAGTGTTTAGCATTTGATAAAACACGGTTCAGCTTAAGATGTCAGAATATCTATCCCAGCTTCTTTGAAGATTTGTTAGTAATGAGATACGAGGAAAAAATTATTTCTCGTGTGTCTGGGAGTTAGGACTTAAAAGGCTTGAGCTAGGTGGGCCTTTAATAGCCTTTCAAGGAAACAAAGTACTTTTGTGCTTTTGTTAGGAGGGCTTTTAAGTAGTTTACCTGAACTTCTCACTCTTACTTTGTCACAAAAACGTTTTGTTTCTAGTTTTGATGTGTAGCTGCAAGCTTGGTTTAACTCTGCTTATTATTTTTTTTTAACACAGCTGCGCGTTTACAAGTGGTGGGGTAACAGAAAGGAACTGGCGACAGTTCGCACAATTTGCAGCCATGTACAGAACATGATTAAGGGTGTTACACTGGTGAGTTTTATTTTGAAATAAGATAACTCGTGTCATTTTCGTTACTGACAACAACAGACAGCCTTTTACTTCAGTGGGAGCTTTTCTAAGCATCCAAGATGTAGCTTTCTCTCTTTTTTTTTTTTCCCCCCTCCTTGCACGTCAGTCAAACAAGTTCTGCAGGTGGAAGAAAGCACAAACAATAAACTCTGGGTGTCTCTTGGGCTGAGTGGCTTGCCCTTGTTAAGAAACTATTTTCAATATATTTTGGTTTTAGATATCTCCAGTAAGCTTAACGCATTTGTTTCACCTTTTGGATGCATTCTGCTTTCAATATCTGATGATGTCCTTTATCCTAGGGATTTCGTTACAAGATGAGGTCAGTGTACGCTCACTTCCCAATCAATGTAGTTATCCAGGATAACGGCTCGCTTGTGGAAATCCGAAACTTCTTGGGAGAGAAGTACATTCGCAGAGTGCGTATGAGGCCAGGTGAGCCTGTCTGGAGATGCACTTCACCATTTCTAACTAGGGTTTCTAAACTACTTTCTTCGGGTACTGCCACTGATAACAGGAGATGGTGAATGATGGTTGAAGCAGCGTTTGCCTGTCTGAATTTACGTAATCTTATGATACCTTTGCCACTGTTTAGATTTATTATTAATAATGCTATCGTAACTTATTTTTAGTAATGAGAGCTAGCTAATAGCTAATAACTAGTTTAGAGCTAGTTATTGTAATATGAGTTACAAGGAGTCCAGTGTTTACTTTCATCACTGTGAGATGGCGACAGTGTGTATAGTTGGTAAACTGCAGGTGCTTTGTTTTAGATTGGTGTTTCCGTTTTAAACATGGTCCGTGAACACTTCACACAGCATCATATTTTTGGTCTTTGAAGTGGTGTTGTATTTTGAATTTCCTGATTGTCTAGGAGCATGTATGATAAACTTGAAAATTATCACCTTACCTGTTGGTGATACTGGTGATCCTGTCTGGCATACTTGGAGTTTTAGCAAAATGTCTAACAGAGTAGGCGTTTGGTGGAGCTTGTTTAACTTCCGAAAGGAGGAGGCAAGACATGTCGTAAACACAGTTGCCTTACGACGGTAGGGAAGACTTTCCGTGTCCGTTTTTTTGATAGTTCCACTTCTGGTGAAGGTATGGGTAAGGATATTTAGCGTGACTGATGGTGTTTTGGGTAGCATCAGACTTGTCCAAAAAGACCGGTATATACAGCACAGTTCCTTAATGGTGGCCTTGACTTTGATTTACTGTGGGATATTAAGGGTGGGTTTGATTATTGTATTTGATTTTTTAAGTCGGCATTTACTTCAAAGATAGTAAAATGCTGGCTTAAAAGCTAACATCTATTGACTAAATAGATAAAACTATACAAACTTACTTGTGGTGTTCTCCTTGCAAATGAAAGTTTCCTGTTAGACTCTTGAATGTGTTTACTCCTTGTGAGTATTTGCAGTGTTGCTGGTATGGACATGGTGCTTGTCGTGTCGCGGGCAAGGGTTTTTTAATGACTTTTGTTTGGGGTGACTCCAGTTTTGTCTTAATGAACGTAAGAATGTGGAAAATGGCACCACCTAGCTGACGAAACCATGCTGGCAAAATCTCTGGCTTGTACGCAGTGTTGGTGATTAATGCTGTAATGTAGTAACATTTAAGTAACTAAGAGTTGCTTTCAATCCAGAACATGACTTGCACTAATCTTTGAGTTCTGAAAATGTGTGAGGGAGGACAGTCCTGGAAGGGGTTTGGGGAGCTCTTAACAAAGTCATAGAAGCTAATTATTGCCTAGAGTACTACTTTCTAGATCTGCAAACTGGGACAGGACACGAATACTGTTTCTTTAGTACGCGTAACGTCTTCACCAATGATTGTGCGTTGTCCTTTCTGTAGGTGTTTCCTGTGCAGTATCTCAAGCCCAGAAAGATGAGCTGATCCTTGAAGGGAATGACATTGAACTGGTGTCCAATTCAGGTTTGTGAAAGTAGATGTGTGGGAAGCTATAGTAATGTGGCCACTTTAATCTGAAGATGTCAGCTTAGCAAACTGTCTTTTTTTCTCAGGCCCTGAGGTAAATGACAGCTCAGTCTTTTTTTTTTTTTTCCTCTAGTCACCGTAATTGCTTTTCATAGTTTCTTACGCTTTTTCTAAACTTGGAGATGTTTTTACAAGCCCACAGAACATTTTTTTTTGAGTCAGTATTGATGGCCTTTTTGGCACCAAACTTTTCAGCTGTTCGGTTGTACAAGCGTGCAGTAATAAATTGTCACTGCCCCGAGCTGCCAAGACAGGCTCGGTGAAATGCATTCTGTTCCTTAGAACTGACAGGATTTCAAATTGGTAAGTCCTTTCTCCAGATGACAGTTGCATTTGTTAGTTGAAATATTGGAGAGTAAACAAAGGCTACGAGTTGGCTTGGACCTTTTGCGTTGTGCTAATGGTCTTGCTTTGTCTGCAGCTGCCTTGATCCAGCAAGCCACTACGGTCAAGAACAAGGATATCAGGAAATTCTTGGATGGTATCTATGTCTCCGAGAAAGGAACAGTACAGCAGGCAGATGAGTAAAACTCTCATAGGTTGGTATCATCTTAACACAGATTGTGCATCTTCCCTGTAGAGATGGTTACTCGATCTGGGGACTTGACGAGGTTTACCTACTTCAACAAGGCTGTGGCTAAGCAGGTTCCCAGCAGGGATGCAGTTGTGCTTGTAGAAGGCATCGTAAGAGGTATCATAAAACTGAACTTCCGCTAGGTCTCTTGACAGCAACTTCCCATCTCTCATCAACTTGGTATTACGCTACCGCATGGAGAAATACCAAACTCTCAAGCGCTGTATTCTGTGCTGTGCATGCTACTTACGATGGTAGCTGAGGATTTAAAACCAGCTGACCTAGCATGACAGACCGGTTTACAGCTGTTTACGGAGAAGACTTTCTTGGACAAAGGTTCCTCCTGGTTGGCCACGGACTTCCATAAAAAAAGTGGGCAGCACATAATTTATATACAAAGGTCTTCTGTGTAGTTTGTGTGTAAATGCTTGTAAACAAAGGTCAATTTAACACGGACAACTACTTAACATTGTGTATGTACCTTTGTCACTGAAGTTGAGTACAAGGATTTTGGGATAATTTTAAGAATTTTAACTGCCAAAGGAATTTGATGCGTTTCAGCTATGTATAGTTCCACAGATGGTACAAAACACTTGTGCAGAACGAGACAGGCTGACTTGCAAATGAAATAGATGTTGTGTGCCTTTTGAACCTAAGCTTGAGACAGAGGATGTAGATAAAGTGAGTTTCATAAACTAAATTTTTTTTATCACCAGCCAGGTACCAGACACTTGCAAGCTGCTGAAAAAATTATTTTAGTGCTGTTCCAAGTTCCCTGAGAGACGGAACAGCTTGTTACCTGCTTGTTAAACAGTTGTGAGCTGTTGTGTTTGAAGGCGTCTTTAAGTAATCTTGTCTGCATAAAATTAAGCAAATTCTTTAATGCAAGACAGACATTAATAGCTCAAAACTATCAGATAAATTAACTTGTCATATGTCTATAAACTTCCAATTTCACATTTGCAGTGCTAAAACCTTTCTAAAAGCTCTTAACTTTTTATTTACAGTTGTCTGGATCCTGAAACGAACGGCAATAAGGTATTATATCAGCAAGTACTGGATTGAAGAATCTGATACAAAACCTGAAGACCATGAGAGAGTTAATAAAATAAAACATATTTCATATCTTGGCCTCTTTTTTTTTTTTTAAGAACTAAATGGTGATTGCGTGAACCTGTTCAAGATCTTTGGCTTTTGGAGAAGCAGATTGTCACAGGATAATGGCAGATAGTCCGCAGGCAGTGCTGCGCACGCGTTGCTTACCGGTCTCTGAGAACATTCAGACTGAATGAAGTCTGATGGTTTGGAAACCTCATGCCGGTGGAGCGTGGACCCAGCGTGTAAAGCCATGAAGTGGTAGTTTTAGATCACAGCATTAAGAAATAGCAAAAGCATTGTTCTCACAGAAAGGACTAGTGTTCTTTCACATCATCTCAGAACCTCAAACCAATGACCACAAAACCTGATTTCCTTGTAGAATTTCTGGAGGGGAGTTCAGGCTCGTGATGACAGAATCTGAAGTAGATTAAAACCAAAATTGGAATCAGTGGAACCAAATTTATAAGCCTTGTTTAAACTGAATACAGATGGAAGTAGTCGTCTGAAAATACGATGCTTTATCTGTATTGCTCAATTAAGAAGACCAAGGACTTGACCCCAGAGTTCAGGCAGAGTTTATTGCTGAGTTTCACCAGCGGTGATTTGTGTCATCTGGGGCTGTAGCTCTCTGTTTTTCTTGGTTACTAATCTTGCCGTGTAGCAATGTCTAGTTGGGATTTTGTGCTATTTCTGTGCTGTGGTAACATCCGTATTGTCACTTGTTACATTCAATTTTGCACAGAAAATACTGGGATAGTGCAGAAACGTACTTGGCGACAAGTGGCTAAAGCTTAATATTGAGGAAAGCATCTATGGACGTCTAAAAAAATTAAGAAAATTGCCCAAAGCGCCCACTTGCGTGATTCTACTGAGTTCAATGGGGGTGTGTGGTAGAGGTCTCTCAGCCTGGACAAGTAGTGGTACTACACTGCAGATGTGGACTTCGTACATGGCCTGCTTAAGATTTTTAAGAGGGGTTCTCGTGCTGTTCGAATTGTGCAACTAAAGGAGTCTTCCAAAGTTTTCTGTGCTCCCACGATGCACACGGAATTCAAGAGGAGTTTCCTTGTAGTATGCTTCAGTTTCATTCCCCAGCTGCTGTGAGTGATAACTAGTCCGCGTCTTTGGGCGACAGAAGGATGCGTGTTCCTCTAACGCCTGTGTGGTTTGCTGCGCTGGTAGAACATTCTATAGTGTAAAATGGGCCGGAGTCCCTCATCATTTTACTAGTACTTACCTTTTGAATTAATGAACGTTCTGTGATGTTGACCGATACTTGAAATATAACGGAGAAATAGTCTCATGCATTTATGAACTGAGACTCGAGGTTGGGTCAAGTATTGGCAGTTCGGGTTCAGTCGATTGCACATATCCTCAAAGTAGCACTTCCACAAAGCTGCTAGTAGTCTGTAAGTGGCCGTAATACTTTATCATTTACATTATTGTTTACTTTATCATAATACGTTATCATTTATCTTGTGTTTGATGCTATCCTGTGTGTTCAGATTGCAGTTGGAAAAGGCAACGTGTTTATATGCCTCATCTCTTCAGAAGCACTGGGGTACGGATAAAGTGCCTCTATCTGTTTTGGGGACCTTAAGACTGAGGTAACTAGCTTCTAGTGGGAACAGGTTGGGGGTTTCACTGTGGCCCGAAAAGGGTGCTAGCCACTGGAAAAGAAGGTTGTAAAGTGGAGGAAGGCAGTAGGAATTTAACTGATGCCTCTTTTTGCCCTTCTTTCCGTTTCCAGAGCAGCCTCTCTACCCCTCTCCAGAGGTGCGTGGTACCTGCCTGGGCAGGGATGATCTGAGCGTGCAATTTGATGCAATGACTGAAAAGGCTGGCCAATGTGAATTTTAAATGATGGTACAGTTCACGGGAAAAACTTGTTGGGGTCACTTTGAGATGACCAAAACCAGACCAAGGGAAACCTCTGGGTTTGGTCCCTGAAAAGTTTAAATAAGATTAGCAGGTTCATTTATCCTTTAAGAGCATTATGCCTGGGTCGGTAGCTTTTGTTTAATGCAGCAATAGCAATGAACTCCTCTCATGGTTTTATCCCACCCATGGCTCGCGCTGGCACTTGACCTGAGCTAAGATGATAATATATATTTATTTCTACAAAAAAGAGTAATTTAGGATTATATTCATCACTCTCTTGAGTAGATTAATAGTTACTATTTATTTTGATGTTCTCTGCTAGTAAAAATTTTCACGGCTGCCCCATTTTGGAGATGAAAAATAGTGATTGTGTATTATTTTGACTTGTCTCCTGCGGGTCCAGTGACATTTGCTTAAAATGTTAACATCTGATCTCTACTTCACCCAATAGGTAAGAGATACGGGTATGTTGGTCGACAATGGAGTTAACTTGGATTTGTTCTTTTAGAGGTATTTTCAGAAGCTGGCCCAGCACATTTCATTCTCCGTGTTGTACTTCGTTGAAAGTGTGTGGATTTTAATAATGCTCCTATTTGTAAACCCTAACAACTGCAGTTTCATGCTCAACAACATTCATAACATGAATATACATCACAAGATGCTTTGGTCCAAAGAGGTTCATAGAAAGTGCGTATCAGTTCTCACAGCTTAGTATCTCTTTTCAAGTCAAACTGTTTGAAAGGTTATTCCAAGGCACAGGAGAGTCATAAAATTTTCTTCCTTCTTTTTTTAAATAGATGAATTTTACTTCTACGTACAGAAGGTGGATAAAAGTAATTTCACCAGAAAGAAATGTCGTCGTAGGTCTTCTTCCTGTGCATACAATTACTTCCCGTTTCCCGACGAAATGCTGGGTGTGCATGACTGGAGTGACTCACGTAGTGCTTTTCTACTGTTCTCTGATCTGCGTCATCCTCTGTAGAATGCAAACAGTGATGGATCTCGCTGAAAGTGGGCTTGTGCCCCCTTTTTAAAATGAAACACAGATGCGCTGGATGCTTTTTGCCTTAAAACGTTTTCTTCTTTTTCTTTTGTGAAAAACAATAATGGTTAAAAGCAAGATAAGGGTAGAGAAAAGGCAGCAGGCAAAGAAGATTAACGGCTTCTTCTGAGAAATAAACAAGCAGAAGCTACACTGCTTTTCTTGGTAGGGGGGATCGCAGGCTGAATAGTCGGCAGGAAAGCCGTTGTTGCTTATCAGGTTATTGTAAAATTTTATTGAAGGCTTTCCTTTTGAATCCGAAGTGAAGAATCCAAATCTGGGCTTAGATTTTTCTTCAGTCAGCTTAAATGCATAGTAGCCTTTAATCTTGACTTTATCAATGTAGTATGCTGCGAAGGGGGAAAAAAAACCAACAAATGTTGTTAACAGAATCATAGAATCCATAGAATGGTTTGGGTTGGAAGGGACCTTAAAGATCATCGAGTTCCAACCCCACTGCCATGGGCAGGGACACCTTCCACTAGGTCAGGTTGCTCAAAGTCCCATCCAACCTGATCTTGAACATGTCCAATGATGGGGCATCCACAGCTTCTCTGGGCAACCTGTTCCAGTGTCTCACCACCCTCACAGTAAAGAATTTCTTCCTTATATCTAATCTAAATCTACCCTCTTTCTGCCCTTGTAAAAAATAAAAACCTTGCATGACCTGCAAACCTTCTGGTAATGAGTTCAGATTTCAAATGATTAATCTATCAATTTAAAAAGCATAATTGCACCATAAAATATTTACACTTACTGCTTCTAACAATACTCAGCTCCCACTGTCTTAATTAAGTAGAAACAGTGCATCGTCTTAAAAAAAAAAAGTTAGAATTTGGGAATTTTCTGGACCTACTCTGTGAAAGCTGGATTTGAACAGGGTTAGAGCTGGGAGCTTGCTTTCCTGGGAAAAGCCGGATGCTGCTCTTCACTGAACCCAGCTGCGATGACTCAAGGGGAGCAGCTGCTCGTCTGTGCCATGAGAGGAGCTTTCTGAAAATTCCAGCCCTGCTCCAAACCCAGCTGCTCAGCCCCACAGCACGTATGACTATGTTACACTGCTGCACCCAAGTGTTGGGTGAAAATACTTTAACGAAATCATAAATGGCAGTCCTTGGTGAGTAAGCATCTCTCCAATTCATGTGTAAGCAGAGAGTATAGTCGGGGATGTGACCCAGATTAAGCAAGAACATTGTAAATTGGGGGGATCTTTCTGTGAGTACTATAAAGCATCATGCTATCTGAAAATTAAAATGGGAATACTATGATGAAGTGCCCTTTAAACAACCTTTTCCTTTAATAACTTATTTCCTTTATATAATTTATTGTTCTTTTGTTTGCAATGTGAAATTAGCATGGAAAATAAATCACCAGATGCTCATTAGTCCTATAGTAATTGAGAAAGAGCTAAGCACTGGAGCGGGAATGCTCTGTTTCTTGTTGGTGTCTAAAAGTAATCTGAAGCCATGCTTAGCCATGAGTAAGACCTGTCTCATTTCTTACATAGCTAACTCCTAGAGAGAAGAAAGCAGGAGACGTAGACTATGCTTGGGTACAGGTGCCTCAGAAGAGCTTTTGGACGCCCCACGTCCTGATCAGGATAAACTTGCTAGTGCTTGCCAACAGGGAATAGTGAGTGCAATGAAGTATTGTACGTCTCGTTTTGGCTGTATGGTTCAGGTACCGAGGCCTTTCTGGTATCCTGTGGCTTGCTGCTTTCCTCTTAACGTTTGGTTAAGAGGAAACGTTGGAGGAAGAGGGATAGGAGGGGTGATGTCCCTGCAGCACTTCTTATACAGTAACTATAACTTATACAATAAACTACTGCTGAAGGTCATTGCCTTGAACATTTTTGTCTTCTACCTCCATAATTGTTATTAATTTTTCTCTGAAGTGAAGAACTAGATTTCTGTAGGTGCACAGGAGAAAGCAAGTAGTGGAACAGGAACTAGAGTTTGACTCTCCCTTCCACAGCAGCTCCTTAAAAATCTGGTGACCCGCTGTATTTCTTCTGTATGTCCCTCCGGGTCTCCTTGGACTTGCTTGTGCTTTCCTGTTCAATGAATCTAGTTCAGCAGCAAGTAAGGAGGCTCCCACCTTTCTT